ACTCAGTCCTTGGAGATTCTCACTACCCAAGCAGCCACACTCACTTAACTTCTGCAAAGTTGTCTTGTTGACCAACACTTCCTTCTCTAAGAACTTCTGTGGTGCCTCACTTCCTACAGACTTCTTGCTAAGTCTCCAGACACCATTCTCTCTCTCCCTATACCACTTGTTCCTCACCTGATCCTCTAAAGTAGTGCCCAAGTTCTGGCTAGAGGCCTCTTCCTCTCTCTTTGCCTGACTCATCAACACCATGTGTTCAGTTGTCTCCAGATGCAATACCTCCCATTTCTCTCCCTATCTCACTCACTTGACGTATCCTAAGGCTACTATACAACACTGTCTACTAACTAGAGAATGTCTCTAACTCAACCTCTCCAAATTGACCATCTCTTCCCTACAACTTGCCTCTATTAGCACTCCTTACCTCCATAAATGGCTGGACATTGTGTGTTACATATCATGAATGGATGCATCTGCTTTATCTTTTTCCCTTGACATAATGAAGTCCATGGCCAAATCCTGTATCATCCTTTTCCTTCATAGCATTTAAATTTTACTTTACTCTCTTTCCCCACTGCTATTCTCTGAGGTCTTTTTTCTTTATCATCATCTCTCCTGGTGTGGTAAACTAACACTAAAACTGGTTCTCTCCTAGACGTTCATGACATCTTCTACCTGGTCTCTGTCCCTTGTCCTCCTCCTGGTCACTGGAGTGCTCTGGTAGTGAGCAAATCTGAGCATATCACTTCCTTGTTCAGGTACCTTCAAAGCCTTCCCTCATCCTCAGATAAGACTCTGTCTGTGCCATAGTTGAACAGCCTTAAGGCCGGATGACCCCTGACCTCTCTCTCTTCCTTCTCTGAGCTTCTGTTGTCTGTTTCGTGAGTTGTTTTCATTGTGTCAGTGTTCCTCTCTGACAGAGGAATTAACTCAGGTCTCCTTCTAGTAATCTTGCTGTCTGCCTCCTCTTTCTATAATACTACTTTCATCCAGGTAAAATGATGGACCAAATCTGCAGCCTCCACAGTCCTCCACGGAAGATCTAAACTCAAATGACTCCTTTCTGTTCCTATGAAAGCTTCTCTGGAGGCTGGAATTTTTAGTGTCACAATGATATTTCTTTCCCTAAGCTCCACATTTTGTTTGGTGTCCCTCATTAACTGTTTGAAAACATAATACTTATTATGCCATAGAAACACATAATAATTCTCAGTTGTAGAAAGCATAACTAAATTTAAAATTAGATAAAAATTTTTGAAGGGGTTGAGTGGAATTTCCTTTTGATGATTTAGAAACTCAAAGACAACACCAGACACTAATTGCTTCTCCATCTTTCTGTGATGCTACCCACAGTATATTTGGTTTCATCTTTCAGGTAACTGACTGGCATCATGGTTTCAGGATGGCTGAAGCTTCTTTGACCCTCACATCTGAATCTAACAAAACCATATCATCTGAAGAATGAAGATTCTTTTCCCAGAAGTCACATAATACAGTGGTTTTCAACCCCTTTGGATATGTTTATAAGATTAGAAATGTATACATTGTATACATATGTGGAGTACCTGTGTGTGCTTATGTGTAGGATTGGTCAGTATAGAAAAAAACAGTTGGATAGGGAAACTACCAGCCAGACGGTAGTGCTGTGGATATCGCTCTGTATGCTATGAATGTGTTGCTCTGATTTAGTTGATAAATAAAACGCGGATTGGCCAGTAGCCAGGCATGAAGTATAGTGTAGGCAGGACAAGCAGAGAAGAGAATTCTGGGAACAGGAAGGCTGAGTCAGGAGATGCTGCCAGCTACCACCAGGAGAAGCAAGATGTAAAGATACCGGTAAGCCATGAGCCATGTTAAGGTATAGATTTATAGAAATGGGTTAATTCAAGTGTAAGATCTAGCTAGCAAGAAGCCTGAGCCATTAGGCCAAACAGTTTTAATTAATATAAGCATCTATGTGTTTATTTGGGTCTGAGCAGTTGCGGGCCCAGGTGGGACTGGAGAAAACTCCAGCTACATGGCAGAGGACTTTTATGAATGCCAAGAATTTTGGACTTAACCCTGTATTAGATGTGGTGGGAAACACCAAGTGTTTGAAGTGAGGGTGTAGAGTACTGAACCCAGATAAGTGTTTTAGAAAGGTAGCATGGCTGGAGATGAGAATGATAAGCTAGAAAGACAAGAAACAAAATGGGCAAGCCAGTTCCAAAGTCATAGAGGTTCTGACACAAGAAGATGAGGGCTGGAACTGGGTGCAATATAAGTTGCATTGATTGGTAGACTCTAGATTGCAAGGGTAAGACTTAAAATATGACAAACACATTATCAGCTTCCCTGCTTGCATGGCACACTGCCTATGTGAACTGTAAAGGAGACATTCTGGAAGTCGGGTAGTGGGTTCAGTTTAGGAGATATTGAGTCTGGCGTGTTAATCGGACACATCGGTGTGGAAATGCAGTGTTTTGAACTCAAGAGGTGAGTGAGGTTAGAGACCCTGCCTTAGGGAAAGAGCTGGCTCTAGCAGCACCTTTAGGATGAAGAGGGAGATCCAGGATGGAGCTCTGCAAACACCATCTAGCAATAGGTAGAAGAAGAGCCTCCAAAGGAGGTGAGAATGAAGCTGAAGAGAGGAGAGGAGAAAAAGAGAACAGAAGCCAGGGATGGGGGCATTTCATGAGGAAATCAAAAGTTAAAAGGAAAACTTACCATGAGAGGAACCTATTGACTAGTTTACAGACAAGGAGAATAATACTACAGGAGAAAGAGAGGGCGATGTGATCCAGAATCCATATGGAAGATTCCTTGGCCCATGAGGCCCCTGGAGAAAGTGTGACTTTATTCATGTTAAGGTTACAGTTGATTTCCTCTCTGGATGTGTCCTTAGTTTACAGATTATCTATGTGTCTTGTGATCTCTCTTTTCCACCCTCAGCCTGCCCATGAACAATGAAAAGTGATAAATATGGAACAAAACTGAGCACTTGTTCCTCTTATCCACTTGTGAGAAGGGTTATGGAAAATGAACTTGAATCTAAGTGTCAAAATGAGATCCAAGATGAACTGTCTTCTAATATGGTCTGCCTGGGTGCTGTAGAGAATGTAAGAAGAAGAAACAGACATTCATGCATACCTTTACACTTCAAACTTTTGTAGGTATTTGCAATCACAATTGTGCATGTCTATGATCTAGAAAGACTAATATATGTGTCTGTTTAGTGCTAAATAATGTTGAATGCTTATATAGCTAGGGTAAAATAAAAAATTAACGTACTGCTGGCCTAGAGCTTTCAACTAGATGTCAACCTTAGATACCTAAGGCAGCAAACATCACTCTACCTGCCTAAGGATCTCAACTGCCCTCTCAAATGGCAAAATTTTATTGTGTGATTTCATTTAATTAGACGATTAAAATCAAGAGAAAATGTGTTCCTTGAAAATATGAATAACTAAATCAAAAGGAGGGAATAAATATGTGGAGTAGTTTTTAAAGATGCTGTAGAAATCCCATCTACTTGTTGACGACACTGAGTCATCCTTGTTAACTAACTACAGAAGAAAATCCCAGTACCTGACATCATGCCTCTCGGCAACACATTCCACCAACATCCTTCTCATGGCTCCTCCCCAGAACAAGCCTCAACATTTCAAGATTAGAAAATGATGTGCTTCAGAAGCTTCTCCAAATAATACCAACAATTAAAGGGAGATGAAAAGCCTGGATTTGTGTTTCCAGTACCTTTTAAGAGAGCCTCAGAAACGGAATTTCAGAATCCAACCCAGATGTCTTAAGCCCCTAGATTGGAGCTGATGGCCGCTCAGATCAATTGTGTGTCCCCAGGACAGAGCATGTGTGAAGTATGGGTTACAAGGTACCATCCTATTATCTAACGGTGTCCTGCATCTGCTAGAGTGTTGGGCGGCAGTACAGTTCTCTCTTATCTCTCACACACAGGAAATTCCACAAGGCTAACCTGGACTAGTTTTCCTCCATCTTAAAGAAAGATTAGCCCCAGAGAAGCACAGTTTAGGGAATGCTTTCCTTTGTAAAAATAATTGACAACTAGTCAATTAACAGAACTTAACATTAAGTTCTGTTAGCTGTTTAGAGTCCAGATGCAATTGCCCCCAAAGCCTTCATCTTGGGCATATGCAGGATATAGATAAAGGTGGAGAGAAAGTTCTCCTGAATCTCCCAGCAGCCAGCTGGTTCCCCCACCCTCCTTCCTCACTTAGGCAAAGAAAGTCAGGCCAGGCAGCCTAGCTCTGGCCTCAGCTAATCCCTTTGCGATGTCTAAGATGAAGAAAGTGGATAGAACTGGCTTAAGTTTACTTTCTTTGAAGGACGACATAACAATGAGAGGAAGGCAGGAGGGAAGGAAGAATTCCCCTCCGCCTAGTGTTTAAGGGGTGCTTGGCTTTCCTCCCTCCTGTGAAAAGAAATACCAGTGCGCCTTTCTGAAATAAGAAATAGGGGGCTTTGTGCACGACTGTGGGGTGAAAAATACACATCAGGGGTTCCTGCAAAGCCTCTCTTTGGGAGCTGTGGAAGCTGCAGGACTGCGCTAGATCCCAGGTTCCTGATTCCGGGCTAGCTCAGCACCTGCCCAGTCTATAATAGCTCTGTAGGAAGTTGGGAAGTGGGATGCACGGTCTGCGGGCCACCCACTAAGGCTCCGAATGTGTGAGTGTGAGAACATCTAAGCACAAAGCACTTCGAAAGATGACTTTGAAGGGTGCTTGACCGGGTGAAACACGTCTTAATCCGGACGTGTGTGTGTGTGTGTGTGTGTGTGTGTGTGTGTGTGTGTGTGTGTGTGTGTGTGTCTGTCTGTCTGTCTGTCTGTCTAAGCGGCTCCACGATGCCGGGATCCCGAGTCCACGTGGATGCCGAGCGGACTCCTCCACCAGCTCTCCAGCTGCACTAGATCCCTCGCGGCTGTCCCAGGACCACTGCGGGTCTCTCCAGCCTAGCAGACGCACCGCACCGGAGTTCAGACTTACCTTGAGCGAGGAGCGCTAGCAGCCGCAGCAGAAGCGCGCCCCCTGCCTGTCCCGGCTCCATCTTGGGTCTGCTTTGGGAAATCTAAGGTGCTCTGGAGGTGCACACAGTACCCTTGGTCGAGGGCTCCCAGAAGTTAGAGACTTTACAGAAGCTGCCCCGAGGACTTCTCTCCCGGCCTGGATGAGAGCAAGGAAAAGTTGCAGCAGCTTCTGAGCTAGGACCCGCCCCTGCCCGCCCCTCAGCCTGGGCAAACTCCGGATCTGCCCTGCCACGCCCCACGGAGCCCAGCCCCTGCAGCAGCGGCTGCAACTCCTCCAGGGCTCCACACAGCGAGCCACGATCCTGCGACTCCCACCCAACCCCCACATCCTGCAGGCAGTGCGGATGGGACCGCCTGCCTGGTGACCTTTCCTGCCCTGTCTCGGACTGTCCTAGCACACCCGACCCAAGAGTTCAGGACCACTCCCCGCAACCCCCCACACTTGTCCTCTGTCTACAGGAAACCCCTAGCCAGACCCCCAGTGCAGTTATATCAGACCACAGCCCACTATAGCTCTCAGCAGGAAGCCATGAGCCCTGAACGCTGCTCCTAGGCTGCTACTACGTGCGTGCCCGTCTCTGCTTTTCCTGAGTGGGTGGAGAAAGGGACAGAAATAAGCTCAGAATGACCAGGTTCGACACTAACTCATCAGAAAGAGCTGCTCTCAAGTTATGATTATCCCCGAGGTACTATTTTTGCACCACAGAGGGGTGTGTGTGAGAGAGAGAGGAGGGGACTGTTCATTTCCGAGGTGATGAGGGAGTTGGATTGCCGAGTTTACTTGATTTATTTCTGGACAGGTGAGAAGAGGGAAGAGCCGCTGAAGACTCACAACTCTTCCTCTAGTTTGTGCCGTCACCATTTTCCGGTCTTTCAGACTCTGGAGAGACAGCGTTCTATATCTTACTCTTTCACTTCCAGATCCAAGAAATAGAATATCCACTTTTTTTTTTTTTTTTTTTGAGCTGAGGATCGAACCCAGGGCCTTGTGCTTGCTAGGCAAGCGCTCTACCACTGGGCTAAATCCCCAACCCCAGAATATCCACTTTTAATCGCCTCTAATTCCGACTTTTCTCCAAAGGCTCAGCCATAGATTCCTACACACTGACTACACTAGAGTTATTCCAATGACTGCTTTCTATGAGGCAATCAAAAGGTTTGATTAACGAATTGCTAGTCTAATCGCTATTACTAACATCATTCAAAAGCTTTTGGGAGCGGGCCCATAAGCAGGAAAGGACTCCCTGGGTCCATGGGACAGCAAGACCCTTCTAGGTAGAACAGATGTAACTGCTTGGTAAAGACCAAACACTTATCTGTTTACTAAGCGATGGGTCGAGTTGAAACCTTGAATTCTTGTTTTGTGCGTGTGTGTGCATGTGTGTATAGGTTTGTGTGTGAGATGCATGTTTCTGGATGGGTGCATATGTATGGAGGCCAGGGAACAAACCTGTCTGTTGCTCCTCAGGAGCCATTGACCTTTTCGTGTCTCTCACAGGTCTGGATCTTGCTAAATAGGCAAGACTAGATGATATGCTAGACTCATGACCGTACCAAGTCTACACTCACTAGACGCTAGAACTTATGATTAACACTATAAATTCAGCATCCCAGGACCTTATAGTCCCAGGATGCTTCCTGTTCTCTCAACCACCGCTGTTTAGTTTTACTCACTGATCCTATCAGACACTTCTGACTTTGTGTGTGTGTTGTGCTTAGTAAGACCTGAGGTGGCTGCTCACTAACCCTGACACACAGCTGGGCAGCTCACAGTCTCCTGGTGGGCAGTCTGCCAGGTTTCAGGGAGATGACTATCTGTCTGTTTCCTTCTGACTCACTGAAATGTGAGTTCTGTTTGGAGCAGACTCTCGTTTGGGAAGCAGGATGGCTCTTTTAAAGTGTTTTGTCTGCCTTGGGGAGAAGAAAGTGCACCTTTGGGGGGATGTTGCTTTTAGAACAGGACAAATCAGCACCATGCTGCTGTCGAGGCAGAGCAGATAAGGAGTTAGCTGTTTTTGTTTTGTTTTGTTTTGTTTTGTTGAGCAGGCAAAAATGTTAGGAAAGGAAGCGCAAGTTTGTGGATTGCAATGTTTAGCCATCATGAAGTGGCTAAGACAAAATTATTTCTGAAGTCTTACCTCACACATACCTTTCCTGGGTTAGTTAGTTGGGAAGCCACATTCACTTCAGGAAATAAGGCAATGACTGAGTTTTCCCACTGTAGCCTCAGGATCCTTTTATGCCATTCAAACTTATAAGGAACTTTTGTTTTTATTACGTTTACCATATAAAATATTAAAACAGAGCATTTTCAGATGTTTGTAAATTAATTTTTAATACCAGTAACCATTACATATTTTCATAAATGTGATGTATTAAAGAAAATAACCTCTTTTGGATGTAAATCAACCCATGAAAAGAGCAGCATTGCTTTATATTTTTGTTAATTATTACCAGTATCTGGCTGAAAAATAGACATGTTAATTCACATATCTGGCTTGACATGTGATCCTGCTGCTGTGATCCTTTGAGTTAAATCATAAGGATTAGTGTGTTGTCATGCAGATGTGTAGTTTCTACACCCATGGCAATTTTAGACAATCTTCTAATATTGTATCAAAATTCAATAAGCAGTAGTTTCTTTTCTTCCTCCAGGTCTTATCATTTTATTAACTCATACACTATCCCTTGTTTCCTGGTTTGTTGGGGCAGTCAGCCAGACAACACTTGCCACTGTAATGTCTGTCAACATAGATGTCTGTAAAAATCCTAGCACCTTATTCTTCAAAGGATGCTCTTACTGAAGGTGACTACCTTTGCCATTTTCATTGAATCTACCGTACTGCAGGACAGCTAGTTTACTCTTCTTTATCTTCTGCTTATTCTTCTTGGGAGTGGGGTAAGACTCAGGAAATCTCAGCGTAATATGAAGGGTGGGTTCCTTTTGAGTGTAGTCAGAGGAAATACAGCCATATTCCAGCTGCTTAACAGCAAAGAACAGCCTTTGGCGATCAGGGAGAATTCCTTCCTCACCCTGGATCTTGGTCTTTCCATCTTCTATAGTGTCAGATTTCAGCCTTCAGAGTGATAGCCCTCCCAGTAAAGGGTCTTCCAGAAAATTTTCATCTTCTACTACAAATGGATGGTTAGAAACAAGAAAATCCATTTCCTAAAAGCTAGTTAAGACATCTGAAAACATATTAAGGACTTTTCCTATTCTACAGCATTAAAATTCACTGGTCTCCTTGCTTCCCTCCATATTGATGACCATTACTCAACATTTGTCTTACACAGCCAGAGAAAATAATAAGTGGCATGGGCAACCAATGCCTCAGTATGATTGTGTACATTGTTTTAGCATCAATGAGCACTTGGAAGAGTCTTTGAACACTCTGAGGCTGATCATGGGTGGAAAGAGGCTTTCCTATGTTTTTCTTCTCTCAGAGCTAGGCCAGAATTTTTTTGAATGAGGGAGGGGAGGCTGATGAGGTTCCTCATGTTCCTTTCTGATCTCTTCTTGCTTCTTGTTCATCTTGCTTATTTCATTCCTATAGAAACATCATTCTAGAAAACTCTGTTCTCCTTTTTCAGGGCTATCACCAAGACACCTTGCCACCAAACTAACTTTGTATGCCCTGTGCCATGGCTACCTGGGCCTCCTTCTGTTGTTGCTTGCAAGATTTCTCACCAGTTGGCAGGTATGGTGGTTTGAATGAACATGGCCCCCACAGGCTCATATATTTGAATGCTTAGTCACCAGGGAGTAGAACTATTTGAGACTAGAAGGATTAGTAGGCATGGCCTTGTTGGTGTAGGAAGTGTGTCACTGGGCTGGGCTTTGAGGTTTCAAAAGCCCACACCAAGTCTGTTGCCTGGATAACAGGATATAGCTCTCAGTTACTTCTCTACCACCATGTCTGCCTGTCTGCCACCATGCTCCCCACCATGATGATAACAGACTAGCCTTCTGCACTGTAGCAAGCCCCTCAATTAAATGTTTTCTTTTATTAGTTGCCTTGATCGTGGTGTCTCTTCACAGCAATAGGACAGTACCTAAGACACAGTCTTCTACATAATCTGTATTTCCTTATCTTGTCTTCAGTATGCACTTATACTTGTAATTATAATTTTCTTTCTGAGATGTGAGCTTGATTGCTATAAATTTTCAGATATTGAGATGGGGAGATATCTCAGTAGGCAAACACAAGAACATGGGGTTGGATCACCCACATATAGATCGAGAGTGGCAGCATGAATCAGTGCTGGAGGTAGAGACAGGTAGATCACAAAGACTCAGTGGCCAGTCAAAGTGGTGAGCTGCAAATTAAGTGAGAAACCGTAAAAAAAAAAAAAAAAAAAAAAAAAAGCCTTAGACAAAATCCAAAATCCCTACTGATAAAAGTTCAGGAGAATCTAGGGATAAAGGGGACATATCTCAACATAGGAAAGGCAATATACAATAAACCCACAGCCAAAATCATGCAAAATGAAGGAAAAACTCAAAGCATTTCTACATTGGCAACATTTTCTCCACTCCTGTTCAGCACAGTACTTGAATTGTTACCTAAAACAATCAAGGAAGAAAAAGAGATAAAGGGGATATAAATTGGAAAGGAAGATATCAAAATACCATCCTTTCTAGATGATATGATAAAAGACCCTAAGGTCTTTCAACAACTGGAAGTCTCATACAACTGATAAACATATTCAGCAAAGTAGCAGGATACAAAACCAGTAGCCTTTCTGTACACCGATGACATACATACTGAGAAATAAATCAGGGAAATAATTCCATTCAAATAGCCCCAGGAAAATTACTTGGAATAACTTTAACAGAGGAAATGAAGTACTTGTACAATAAAGACTAAGATACTGATGAAACTGAAAAGACACCAGAAGATGGAAAGATCTCCCATGCTCATGAGTTAGTAGGATTAACGTCGCAACAATGACCATCTAACCAAAAGCAATGTACAGATTCAATGCAATCCCCATCAGAATTCCCAAGAAATTATTCACA